CCCATCTCCCTTCGACTCGCGGTGTTTCTTGGTCCTTTCGTACTCCGATCTGGGTTATGATTTTGTTTGACATCCTCATCCACGTTCAAGGGGTCAATTTCACTTACCGGTACCCCCATCTTGTAAGTATTGGTTGATGAAGCTGTCATCATGTTGATACATGTGTATGAAATTATGTATCACAGCACAAGTAATAGGTATTCTCGTTTGTTTCTGCATCGGGTAATTGTTGATTATCTTTAGAATGCGGAACCTCGCTTTCCACACCCCGAATGTCCGCTCGATACAATTCCTAAGCGATGAATGGGTGTAGTTAAATAACTCCCGTTCACTTTGAGGTCGGCCTCGACGTGCCCTATACTCTTACAATTGGTATGTACTACCATGATAAGGAGCTAGGAAACAACCTATGTTTGTGTAACCGTAGTCTACTAAATAAAATTTTCTTACATAGTGGGAGCAAAGAATGTTTTAGCAGACTTGCAGTAACTTTTCAAACCCACACAGATTGAAACCATGTCAATTACCCATTTTAAGATTTGTGTGTACCTGCTGGAGGGACAGGGAATTTTTTTTCTGGCGTTTGAAGTGCTGATTCAAGAACTCGGGCATCGTGCGTGGAACCCTTCCACCCGGCAAGCATATACGTGAACTTCATGTCGAAAGAACACACTCCCAAAACATTTTGTGAGTTGAATCCCTTCCTATTTCTCCAGACCTCTGCATTTTTTGGCAGCGGTACACAAGGAACGTGCGTCCCGTCAAGCGCGCCAACACAGTTCTGAGACAAATATAATGAACGCTATTATGAATCTCAAAGTATTGCATTCATATAATGTTAAATACGAACAAGAAAAAAAGGAGAGATATGCCTTACATCGAACCAAGATCTGTACTTGTTTCCACTTGCCTTAATAAGTGGATTGATGCGGTTAAAGTCAGGTCGCTTAATAAAATCATGCCACAGACGATATATGGCATTCAACACTACCATGAAGTACTTTGAAATTGTAGCCCCCGAGTGTTGCCATTGATGTTGTGTCTCTCTATTACTTTCGCTTTGGCAAACAATTGTCAAGAAAATGATCAATTGCCCATCAACACTCATATTTCTAGTACTCCCCAATAAATTTTTCTGTTTGAGTAACCAACTCAGTCGCCTAAAGCAATCGCTGCCCATCCTAATCTTATTGTATATTACCATCTCGTGTCCATTTAACAACTCACTTTGACGATGTGTACCTGTGTAATGGCTATTATTTCTAAGAGTCGGCAGCAGATGTTCCAAGTACACCGTATAGAATACCGCAGCAGCAGCTACTCCAAGAATGTAGTCATCATCAGAGTCATATTCGGGTGGACCATTGTTTCCCGCGTTTGATGGTCCGCCACTCCACATTCTGTCTGCCACTACAATTCACAATATACACACCAAAATTTTGTATATGGAATGAACAATGTTATATTATCTAAAACCATAATGGAAAAATTTGGCATCAACAATCAATTTAATGGTACAAAAGCAATTATGCATAACATAAAATTAAAACTTTAAATCAAAGTCTACAATGCAACATGAAACACACTCACAAACTTAACACTGCATCTAAAGTCGATGTCAAATTGAAATGAAATAAATTCGTTTCATATAAGAAACCAGACACTACATAGAATGAAATGAAAAAAGAAATCACGATTAAAAAAAAGCACTCAACTTAAATCTCATCAGTTCCAGTTCTTCCAAAGGGGCCAGGTGGGGGTGGGAATTTGGGGTTCATGAAGAATGGTGGAAAATTTTGGAAGTTAGGAAGGGGTTGTTGGCCACTAGGAGTAGGTTGTGGTAGGTTAAAATTAGAGGGTCCTTGGGGAAAAAGAGGCTATTGTTGTGCAAAGTTTTGAACCGGAGGTCAAAAATGTCCATGAGAACCCATATATGGTGGAGCGGGGTTCATATAATATGGAAATTATTGCTGCACGTTGGGTCCTGGATTATTTGGTATGGTTTTCAATGTTCTCAATGCGTAAAACAACCTTTGACTCTCGTTCATGCCCAAGAACATATGTTGACAATTAGGGTTCCAATTTATATACTCCATGAACAACAGCCATCTACGACCGGCACAATATCTCCACTTATGCAGAGGTTGAGATCGACGGTGGCGGAGACATTTACACAGAACAACAGCCAGTGGAGGACATCGTGATTCTGATGAAGGAGCTATTTTCTCCGTTTTGGGCAAATCGGTGAACGGCGAGGAAAGGTTTCCTCGGTCAATAAAACAATATCTGGCTCAAACGGAACAAGATTTAGCTCAAACGAAAAAAATATCTGGCTCAAACGGAACAAAATCTGGGTTGCAGCTTCACCACGCGGGGTTAAAAACACGAATCAGGGAATTATCGCTGTAGATGATAGGAATGGATAGAGAAGAGATAGCTTTCGAAAAAGAGGGACGAAAATGAATGAACGGGACAAGAAAACGGTAAGGCACGCAGAGAATCCGAGAGAAAATTACAGAGTTGTGCAGAACACTGTGCACTATAGATCAAATTTGAGTTAATGGGAATTCACGGGGCAGTTGAACTCCATTTTGGGGCATGAACTCGAATTACAACTCGAGTTACAATCCGAGTTTTTTTACCCAAACGCTTATTTGGGCCCATTTTGTGATTTGAGTTGGGCTGATTCAAGTGGAGTCCACGAAGTGAACTCGCCCTTAATCTATTTTTTCTATAATCATTAAGTTTTAAATGTTGTAAAGTAGACTTTTATTTTTAGGGAGTTTTTCATGTGTTCTCTTCTTTTTGAGAACACCGGTGTTTCTTACTTTTTCAACCATTAGATATTGTCAAAATCACATTAGATTAAAAAAGTATGCAGCACAGACTATTTCTGATACATATCTGACGGCTGAAAAGAAAATAATACCAGTGTTCTTATAAATGATGAAACACTAAAAAAAATCTCTTATTTTTAAAATAATTAGAAAATACAAAAATTACAATGATTATACGAAACAATAAACATTTTAACCTAATTAAATGTTAAATTTCTCATATCATAATAAAAGTGAAAAATTTACTACAAAATATAATATGTGAAAAAGTTTAACATAAAAAATAACATTATATTATAGATTTTTTTTCGTACTCAAATATTAAATTTAAAATTTACAATTCAATTTTAACATTGTATAGAAAATGGTCGAAGAAAGGGGCGTTTAGTAGAGGGATTCATTCCCTGATTCGAATCATGATTCGTGGTTCACTACAGTATTTTTTTTTAAAAAAATACACGTAAATTAAAAATAATTTAAATCACATAGTTTGAATCCTCAAACCAAACGATAAACAATCCCACTTCAACTGGCCTTTCCTTGGCTTTTAGCCCTTTGTGGTTTGCAAACAAGAAAAGGCAAGAAACGAGAGAGAGAGAGAGAGTTAAACTCACGCGAATCTAGAGCACGTGGGGGTGATATCTCGCTGAAGAAAGACTACTGTAGTAGTTGAACCTTTTTATTTAAACCATTTAATAGAGTTAAATTGGCGTTGAAAAATCCAATAAATATAAATATACATATAACGCAATATATAGGCGTCTCCTGCATCAGACGTGTAAGACAGGCTAAGCAATTTAGACCTTCTATGCACAGAGCCCATCATAACAAACCTATATATACACATCGATGATGGGTTTTGTACATGAAAGGTCAGCATTATATTCCAATCATTGGTTGACACGTGTCACAGAAAAGATTACTATATTCCCTTGGGTGTAAATCCCCAACCCCCAAAAAAACAAAAAAAATTGTAAAGGGAATCATATTTACTGCTTTATCCAATTTATATAGCTTTGTTAGCAAAATCCTCAATCTTTCTAGATTTCCTCCACCAAAATAATGCAGCTTTGGGCAGTGACTAATGGCATTTAGTGACAAACCATTGGGAAAAGATCAGCTTTTATCACTCAGGAAGAAAAGTTTTAGAAAAATTTTCAAGCAAAAAATAATAATAATAATAATAATAAAATAACCAAATAAATACGTTTGACATGTGAGCAAAAAGAGCTAAGTGGGGACCATAATAGCTTCCATAAATGCTTGGTTAATAATAATATTCCTTCCATTTTGATTTTCACTTCTGAAATTTTCGATTTTCCCCTTTTGGAGTTTCTTTCGTAACTTTGCTAAGTTGATAAAAATGGCTTTGAATACCCTGCAAAACTCACATTCACACATCTCTTTCAAGGTGTTGAAGATTTTTTACAATTATTTTCTTTGGCGTACATATTTTTCAAGTCAAGTTGTTGTAACTTGTTTCTATTACCTTCTAGGTATGTACCATCTTTCTCCAAGCAGTAAAATAAAAATGGCAGTATTTATGATAAAATAAGTTTTCTTGTCCTACTAGGACACAACGTTGTTTTATCTGTCTCGAATTTTTAACATGAACTCTCGTGTATCTTATCATTAAAAAATTAATATCAGCATTATCAATTGGTAGAGTAAAAATGTATGTCCTACTATAAAAATTATTAAATAAAATCCTTAATAAGTAAATAACTTAAGATCATATTCAGTTCGTTAATTTAAATTTTCAATTCGAATTAAGATGTAATTTTATATAAAATTTTTTAAATATAATAAAAAAATTAAATGCAATTTTTTATTAAAATTTTTTACTCTAATAAAATTAAAATTAAAAATTTAAATTGATAAAATAAATCTAACCTAAATATTTCTTGTCCTATTCAAAGCTCATTCTCCCTCATCTAAAATCTTGTTTCAAATCCCCCATGATAGTGTACAGGGAAAAAGCCCAACAAAAACCCCTGTAAATCACTCACATCCTTAACCGCAAACCCCAAAACAGAGGGACCCCATCTCTGATCTCTCCCAACCCAACTCTTTTTTTTTTTTTTTTTTTTTTTTTTTTTCTTTTTTGGATTTTCATTTTTTTTCCCCACCCCACCTTTCTTGTTTTCCTTGTACTTATATCCCCCTCCTTAGCCAACCAATCCCATCCATCTCAGAAGAAACACCCCCCACTTTCTTTTTTTTTGTTTTGTTTTGTTTCATTTTGTTTTATTTATTTTTCTGAATTTCTCCATTCATTCACTCTTCCCTTTATTCCTCCTCCTCTTCCCCCCCATCCACAAAAACTCCTCAAAACCCATCTCCCCTCTCTATAAATTCCCCAAAACCCATTTCTTAGAAACCCAAATCCTCAAACACTACAAAAAAAAAACCATTGTTTTTTGTCTTCTTTTCCTGAAACCATCAATTGTTGATAGAAAAAAGAAAAAAAAAAATGAAAGAGTATTGGACTTCTCTAGCTTCCTTACTAGGAGTTTTGGCCTTCTGCCAAACTCTCCTCCAAACCGTTTTCCCACCGGAGCTCCGTTTCGCTCTGGCCAAGCTCTTCAACAAAATCTCACACTGGTTCTCCTCCTACTGCTACTTCGACATAACGGAGATCGACGGCGTCAACACCAACGAGCTCTACAACGCCGTCCAGCTCTACCTCTCCTCCTCCGTCTCCACCTCCGTCAGCGGGTCCCACTCCCGCCTCAGCCTCACCCGCGCCGTCAACTCCTCCGCCGTCACCTTCGGCCTCTCCAACAACGACTCCATCCTCGACGTCTTTAACGGCGTCACCGTCGTCTGGGAACACGTCGTCACCCAACGCCAAACCCAAACCTTCTCATGGCGGCCATTACCGGAGGAGAAGCGAGGATTCACTCTCCGAATCAGGAAACGATACAAGTCTCTGATCCTCAACTCCTACCTCGACTTCATCATGGAAAGAGCCGGCGACATTCGTAGAAAAAACCAGGACCGTCATCTTTACACCAACTCCCGCGGGGGGTCCCTCGACTCGCGGGGACACCCGTGGGAGTCGGTGCCGTTCAAGCACCCGAGCACTTTCGAAACTCTGGCGATGGATCCGATCAAGAAAACGAAGCTGATGGAAGATCTCAACGATTTCGCCAATGGCGAGAAGTTTTATCAGAAGACCGGGAGAGCTTGGAAACGAGGATATCTTCTGTACGGACCTCCCGGGACCGGAAAATCGAGCATGATCGCGGCAATGGCGAATTATTTGGGGTATGACATATATGATTTGGAGCTTACTGAAGTTCATACTAATTCCGAGCTGCGGAAGCTTCTGATGAAAACGAGCTCGAAGTCGATCATCGTGATCGAGGACATCGATTGCTCGATCAATTTGACAAACAGGAAGAAAAACCACGGGCCTATGCATTCTCGCAATGTCAACTCTTCGAATTGCTACGATGCCGCTGCGGCGGCGGCCGAGCAAATGAGGGGCGAGGGCGACGGGAACGTTGGCGGGAACTCAATCACGCTGTCGGGGCTGCTGAATTTCACGGACGGGCTGTGGTCGTGCTGCGGGAGCGAGAGGATTTTCGTGTTCACGACCAACCACATTGAGAAGCTGGACCCGGCATTGCTGCGGAGCGGGAGAATGGACTTGCACATCTTCATGAGTTACTGCTCATTTCCGGCGTTGAAGATTTTGCTGAGGAATTACTTGGGGTGCAAGGCCGATGACTTGGACGGCGACGTCTTGAGGGACTTGGAAAGTGTGGTGGACGAGGCGGAGATGACGCCGGCCGATGTGAGCGAGGTTTTGATTAAGAATCGGCGCGATAGGGATCGGGCGGTGAGGGAATTGCTCGAGACGTTGAAGGTGAGAGCGGAAAAGAATAAGCGGAGGAAGAAGAGGAGTAAAAAGCAGAGCATGAGTGAGGAAGAGGAGGAGGAGGAGGAAGAGGAAGAGCAAGAGAAGAGGGCTTTGGAGAGTCCTAATGGTAAGGAAGGGTTTAGTTTTGGTGGGCAATTTGAGAAAAGTTGTGAGAAAGTAGAGAATGATCATGAAGAGGAAGAGGAAAAGGAAGAAGAAGAGGATAAGAAAGAGAAGTGAAAGAGTGAAATGAGTTTTTGTTTATTATTTAGTGTCATGTTTTGACAATCATAATATGATGTGTTTGATCTGTTCTTGATCTTTCTTCCTCTTTTGGAGATTTTAGAGCTTCAAAAAAAAAAAAAATTTTTTTAATCATGGGATTTGGGGGGTGATGGTTTTGGTGGGGGAAAAAGATGGTAAAAATCAAAATTTTCAACAAATGTTACGTTTGAGGATCAATCTGTCTTGCTAAGCCTCTTCAATAATGAGATGAGAGCTAATATATAGTATTATATATTGCTACATGGATAAGCTTATATTTGTTGCATGGGTTTCCCTTTTTGGCTTATTTTTCTTTTCATATAAAATAAACTAAGACGTTACTTTATTACAATAAAAATGAAGTAGATGTTTCAAATGTTCTGTTTCTCTCTTTGCTTTTCGGTGGGCGGAGTTGGAAACGAAAGAAAAGGCCGATTTGTGCTTTGTAGATCACAGATCTTCAATTTTTTATTTTTATTTTTTTGGGGTGGACAAAAAAGAAAAGGAATTAGGTTTAGTTAATAACCTAACAGTATAGTACATCCAAATTTTGACATGTTAGACGAATCTGTCTAGCCAACCTTTAATAACTAACGCTAATAAAATATATGGTACATGGATAAGCTTATTTTGTTGCATGTGGTTGAGTTGCCAAATGGGTTCTTTTTAAAATTAAGGTCTCGTTTACTTCGCGGATTTAAATTTTTTGAGATGTGATATTTTATGAGAGATTTTTATTGTAGTTGAAAAAGTTAGATGTGACATTTTTTAAGAGTTTTTTACTGTAAAAATCTAAAATTGAAAACTCAAATCGGTGAAATTAACGAGATCTAGTTTTTTTTTTTCCTTTTAAAAAAGTGTTTCTTCATACTTAAAATGGGAGTTATGTTTCCGATAATGTCCTTTGCGTATTGCTTACTATTGAGGGCTTTTAGTGGGGGACTTGTTTTGGGAAATACAAATTTTACAGCTCTTTGCTGGCTAATGGCTATGTTATGTGGGCTGCTTGTGGGATCACCTGGCATGCACATGGGAAGATTTGTGTGTGTTTGATGGAAGATGTTGGAAGCTTGGATCAAACAAAAATGTTGGGGTCTCACAAGTTCATTCCATTTTGTAGAGAAAATTATGAAGTGGTGTCCCTTGTGGCCAAAAAAGTATGAATATGTATGTCTATATTACACGTGATGTGTAAATAAAATAAAATAGATAAATGGATGGCTTAGGAAGGATGTCTTGAGCCAATGGGACCGTTGTCCCTAATTTGAATCATTTGTCTCTCCAAACTTGATGTTTGGTTTACTGTTTATAACATTAAAGGACAAATAAAAACAATCAATTAAGAGCCCGTTTAGTTCGATAATTCGAGTTGATATGTAACTTTATGTGAAAGTTTTTTACTATAGTAAAAAAATTAAATGTGACTGTTTCTGAAAATTTTTTACTATAAGAAAACTCGAATCGGTGAAATGAACGAAAGCTAAATTAGGCCTTTTAAGAAAAAGTATTGTTGCAAGGGCCAAACACTACTCCAAAACATTGGAGGGGGTCGAGCCTAAGGATGTAAACGGGGCTGGGATAGAAGGAGGAGGAGAAACAATATTTAATAACTTCTTCAAAAAAAATATTTAATAACATTTAATTTTTAAATTTTACTTATACATTTAAAAAAAATATATTTGATAAATTCTTAAAAAATAATATTTAATAACATTTAATTTTTAAATTTTACTTATACATATTTTTTTAAAAAATATCAAGCATAAGCAGGAAGTTTCTGAGGTACGTGATACTACGTGAACTCAAATATCCTGTTTAATTTTTGTGCTCCTGATTGTATTAAATTAATCATATTATGACGCGTCATTTAAAAAATTTTAAAATGCTTTTTAGTGGACTTTTTCTAGTGTGTTTGGTTCAAGGATTCGTGTCATGGTTCGAATCATGGTTTGTGACTCAACATAGTATTTTCTCTCACAAAAAATACACGTAAATCGAAAATGATTTTGAATTCATCAACCAAACGTCATTTGTCAATTAGATGACATAACATCACGAGTTTGATTAGACACGATTCCAAATATCAAAACTTTATCAAATGATCTGAATTCAGAATTCCACATCATCTATGCCATTGTCCTTGATCATATAGTCGTTTTCCCTGTCACATGTAAGACAAGGAAAAATGTGAACCATCTAGTAGAGAAGAGCACTCTTATTCACCACGATGAAATTAAAACTCCGCTACTAACATAAAGTGAGTCATGTTAGGTGAGTAGGTGAGAACCAACATTTTATGAGTATAAGGTTTTATCTCTATCCGAATAAATATCATTTTTCAGTGGGGAAAGTATATCATCCCTAGTCAAGCCAAACATGATTAAGCCAATAAGCAGTTTTCTTGGGATGATTATATTCGAGAAGAATGAATTACTATTTGATCTCCCCTAGTAAAAGACAAAGAAACAAAATTTGACACTTGAAATAGGTAATGAGAGATGGTTTTCGTTTCTGTTATTTCAGTAGGCGATATGTCATTTAGGACATTGATTAGGGGGAACATGCATATATATGTCACGGAAAAAAGTGGTTACTTTCCATTAGTGGTTGTATATGAAAAGGATTTGGCTCAGCCTTCATGAGTTTTTTTTTTTTTTCTTTTTTTTTTTCTTTTAAGCTTTTTGAGTTTTACTTTGTCTTTTTATAGATTGTACTTGCGTTAATTGATTCCATCATGTGGACTTTCCACCAATGCTAGGTAAGTTAAGTAAAAAACAACCCCATAAAGTAAAGAGATTGTGTTAATGGATAGGAATGGAGGGGTAAATGAGGAATATGACACGTGAAAAGGGGAAACAATTAAACAAGCCAGAGATTTTGTGTTTGGAAAAGGAGGATTGAGGAGTGAAAAAGCAAAGGAGAAAGTCTTGAGTTATAATGAGAAAAAGTTGACATGTTCTTGGTGTTGATTTTGATATTGAGTTGGAAAGGCATCAGATTGTCAAGGCCAATATAGATTTTGGCCAACGTGGTGAGTATGGTAGTTGACAAGCAAAACCAATAATAAGTTTATTATTATTTCAGTAAATGAAGAGAGTCTCTCTCTGGTAAGACCTCTTCATCAGTAGTGCGTATTTTTAACCGTTAAATTTAACTTATATCACATTAGAATAAAAATGTACGCAGAATAGATAATTTCAGATATAAGAGAAAATTCTATTTATTTTTCTAATACCTACTAAATAAAATCCCTAATGAAAAACATGCTTTGCGAGGAGAGAAGAAAAAAGTGGATTTTTTCCCTTTGTTATGCGCATTAAGCTTTAGCTTTATCAGCTTTTTTTTCCTTTTAACTTTTTTTTAAAAAAAAAATTTTTGGTAGGCAAAAAACAAAAAGAAAGGAGGAAAATAGGAAAAATAATTGCTAGTGCCAACGTACACATTTTTTTAGGAGGAAAGGAATGCTGCATATGCTACACTTGGAGGTCCTTTAAGAATCTTCAACGTATGGACAATAGCTTGAGAGAAAAATGTACGTACCTAATTATTGATTCTTCTTTTTTTTTTTTTTTTTTTTTTTTGGTTTCAAAGCTAATTATTGATTCTTGATCCATTAACGATTGTTAATTCTAGTACTTAAAGAAATAAATAGCATAACGAATCATGTTTATAATGTTATAAAATAAAAAGCTAGACTAATTCCTCTAACTTTAAATAAATATATATAAAAAAAATGTAGAAAGTGATTCATCTGAGGGAACACCACAGTTTAAAGGTTCTTTTCATTTTCCCACATAGTTGGGAAATGGGAGAAAAAAAAAAGTTTTGAGAGAATATTTCTATTGATAATTATAATTAAATTATAGTATATTCTCATGTTGAATGGGAATTTCGTAAAGCAAAAAATAAACTAAAATAAAATAATGTTGAATGGAAAAGTATGAGGTCTAATTTTTAATAGAGACATTTTTTAGTACGTCAAGATACCAATAGATTAAGTTTTCTCTCCGTCGAATGTGTATAAAATCACGTAAAAATTAAAAACAAAAAATAGTAAGAAATATGCCAATATAAAAAGCTTAAGAAAGTATATAGGTCAATTTTTAGTTATAAAAATTAATAGGTTATAACTTGTCAAGTTATGATTCATAACCAGATAAGTTATAGATAAATTTGTCAAGTTATGGTTCATAACCAGATAAGTTATGGACAAACTTGTCAAGTTATGGTTCATAACCAGATAAGTTAGGGACGAAAATAATAATTTAGCCTATTTATTAAGTTATGTAAACTATTGACCTATTAATTTTAATTCATCTCAAGTCTTGACCTATTTTCTCTTTTTCTTAATTAAAAAATACGTAAATCTAACTGTTAAAAAAATCTTTGATATTTGAATGAGAATACGAGTTTCTTGTTGGAACTCTGCATCTTCCCAGACGTCTCCATTTAGAAATACAGTATAAAGTCACATTTGCGTGTTGAATAGCGTTTTGTTGCATAAAAAGTCCCTAAAAAGGCTACGTGGAAGTTAAATGTACAGGAGGAAAAATGCTGAAGTTCATATCTTGACCATATTTTCTTATTCCACAAATATGGCAAAGAAAAAGAGTAAAAATAAATAAATATTCATCGCGGTATAAACACAAGAAAGGGAGAAAAGATTTGAAAGGCAGACAAAGAATGACAAAATCAATTTGATGATCAACTCCAAGCATATTACAATAACAAGTGGCTTCTTCTTAGGCTTGTTATTTATTTATTCATCGGATAATTTTTTATATATAATTATGTTTTATCCTTACTGTACTTTTTTCTTATCGTCTCACTTTTTATTGAGATATAACTTTTAAAATTATGTGACGGTTGAAAATATATGGTACCGATAAAAATATTCTATCATAAACAAAAAAGAAATAACTCTAAATCTTCAAATCTTTTGTTTATTCTGTCAAATTTTTATTTGTACCAAATAAATGAGAATTTCTCTGATAATTCTAAACTTTAACCATTAAATCTAATCAAAACTACAGCAGATTAAAAAAATATTTAAAACA